ACACTCACCTCTGTTTACCATCCCTCCCTATTCCAAAATGAAGAGACCTCAAAAAAAAAAAAAAAACTAGGACGAGCCTTAGTTCTACGCAGCCTTTTATGGGGGGACATGCAATGGGCGCAGAGGATGTGGCTTGGGCGACCTTTTTCATCGAGGTTTGACACACATGCACGCTGATATGCAGATGTAGGTAAACAGAGGTGAGTGTTTTCTTACTAGAATAGAAAATCCTGTTGGATTTTGGGAAATCTCTGAGGTGGATGTTTTTAAGGTTATCAGGTTGATAAGGAAAAGCTGCATAATCCTTCACCACTTCGCGTATGGTAGTTCTAACTAGTCCCACATATGCAGGATCAGAAAGTGAAGAATTGTTGAATTTCCAGTAACCATTACCTCGTTCCATATTATTAAAATCAAGAAGAATATTGATTAAGGAATGATCCGATCTTTAACCAGGTTTAATATCACAGCTAATCAATTTCGAGTTAAGTTCGGCTGAAGTTAAAAAGAAGTCTAATCTAGATCGCTTAAGAGAATCATGCTGTCTTCATGTATATCTACGCAGGTCAGGATTATGAATTTTCCACACATCAACCAAACCAAAATCATGACATAATTGTAACACCCTGTTTCTGTTCGTAGAGAGCCTTGACCTCGTTCTTCCACCTTGCTTTTTCTTGCCAGTCTTGGGCAGTCGNGCTCGTTTGCTGACCCTACGAGGTGACATTAAGCAGTTGTTCATCACGACCGTCCAACTACATCACCCGGCCTCTGTGACCACGGTCGCTCAAATGAGATCGGAGGCAATAATACGTGTAAGCCCTCTCAATAACGAGGATCAAAATCAGGTGCCCAGGAAACAAGCAGCGCATCAACATCCTCTGCCACCAGCTTGGAGTTTCTGTTTCAGGCATACTGAAAACGACCTGCAGGGAGAATTTAACCACTTTCAGTTCATGCTACCTGAAGGATGTGGTTCAAGCAGAGGGTGTCTTGAGCAGGAAAACCCTCAAGCAGGTCAGCCGATCAGCAGCCTGTACACCCCAGAAAGCTACCGTTTCTCGCAACTAGAAAGGCAGCTTCTGAGTATGTCTAAACAACCTTTTTCATATTTTTGGGAGGAAGGGACATGCAGGGTAATATTTCATATTACCCGGCATGTCCCTTCCTCCCAAATTGTTACTTACGGTGCTATTCTGCAAATGTAGGTAAACAGAGGTGAGATGTTTTCTGTAATGGAATTCCCCAAATCCAACAGGATTTTCCATTCTAGTAAGAAAACACTCACCTCTGTTTACCATCCCTCCCTATTCCAAATTAATAAAATGAAGAGACCTAAAAAAAAAAAAAAAAAATAGGACGAGCCTTAGTTCTACGCAGCCTTTTATGGGGGGACATGCAGTGGGCGCAGAGGGTGTGGCTTGGGCGACCTTTTTCATCGAGGTTTGACGCGCATGCACGCTGCTATGCAGATGTAGGTAAACAGAGGTGAGTGTTTTCTTACTAGAATAGAAAATCCTGTTGGATTTTGGGAAATCTCTGAGGTGGATGTTTTTAAGGTTATCAGGTTGATAAGGAAAAGCTGCATAATCCTTCACCGCTTCGCGTATGGTAGTTCTAACTAGTCCCACATATGCAGGATCAGAAAGTGAAGAATTGTTGAATTTCCAGTAACCATTACCTCGTTCCATATTATTAAAACCAAGAAGAATATCGATTAAGGAATGATCCGATCTTTAACCAGGTTTAATATCACAGCTAATCAATTTCGAGTTAAGTTCGGCTGAAGTTAAAAAGTCTAATCTAGATTGCTTAAGAGAATCATGCTGTCTTCATGTATATCTACGCAGGTCAGGATTATGAATTTTCCACACATCAACCAAACCAAAATCATGACATAATTGTAACACCCTGTTTCTGTTCGTAGAGAGCCTTGACCTCGTTCTTCCACCTTGCTTTTTCTTGCCAGTCTTGGGCAGTCANAGTCATCAAGGATGTACAAGACGGAGCCATCCAAAGCTTGATGGCATTCGCGGAGAACCTTAACTTTATCTCGAAATGAAAGCATTTTCACTAAAATACGCGGTGGTTTGCCGTTCTTGCCTCGACCGTCCCAATGAGCACACTCAATTCTCGGTAGCTCACTTCAGCCAAACTCACGTGCCAGGATATTCTCAAAGTTGTGCAATTCTACCCCTCCTTTCCATCCATGCCTATGACTCCGAAGTTATTTCGACTGGAGAACCGCTCCTGTTTATTGATTTCAGATGTTTGCTTGGCCACCCGGGTCATCAGAGAGGAATACCTCCAGTTTCAGAGCGCTCAAATCTTTCTCCAAATCTGCTCTCGCCTTCTGAAGATTAACGGTTCTTTCACTATTAAACTCGATAGACTCAGCAAACTTCAGTTCAAGCTGCTTTTGGCCATTGACAATCTTGGCCAATGTTGACCGGACAAATTCTTCAAAATTCTTGGAGTCTCCCTCTTCTATTTGCCATCCAAGTTCATCAGAATCATTGCCCGGGGTATAAACTACGTCTGCAGGAGGAAAATCTAAAAATCTAATACTGACTTTGAAGTTTCATTTGATTCATGAACTGGATCCAGCAATATGCCAAACTACATGTTGGCCTGACATTTTGGGAGTATTTTCCAGACCGGGTACAGTGCGGTCGGGCTGAGCGATTTCCTGTAAGCATGGCAAGTGCAGTCTTTGTGGAAATATATACAGCCGCATGGATGGCAATATTTGTGTTGATCCTCACGGTAGCGTGTGTCCTTGATCATATTCTAAACACACTGAAAATATTATGTCAAATCTCTCACAAAACAGTGCTAAAATTTGGTACCTTTTACAGTTTTCCAGCCAGAATGTTGCCAATTTAATATCTTGTCCCCGCAGCGTGCAAACAGGGAAACTACTGCCAAGGTGCCAGCTTGCAGCAATATGGCATGTGTTCGCTAGCACGGTTCCTCACATACAACACTCTGTTAATCCTTGAGGGATATGTACCATATTTTCCTTTTTTTTTACGTTGAGATAGTAACATTTGGATGTTCAGAGGGGTATCTTAGCATGCCTACAATCTCTGTCAGCATCAACTCTCTGTAATTCCATGCAGTAATTAACGAATAGTTTGGATATTGTTGTTCTTGAAATGTACTTTCAACTGAAGAACAGAAATTTAGAAAGTGTTACATACTGCTTATTACCAAGAATTGGTTGAAAATATGATATGAAGAGTTTTTATAATTATACAGGATATGCCAATATGTGAATTTACTTATTCTTACGAAATACGTGTGATGGTCAATTGAATTTCCTAACCAAAGAAATTGTGAACAATCTCTGCTGTTGCAACAGCACCATGTCATCATCTTCAATATTGTTTACATCAGCAGCATCTTCTTCATGCTCATGCTGGTCATCTTCAGTTTCCTGCAGGTGCTTGTTTATGTTGAATAGTACACAGCAAGCAACAACGATATCACACGCCTTCTCTGGCACAATCTGCTATATATGGCCAAGCAGACATCAGAATTTGTTCTTTAGTTGTCTGTTGACTTGCTCAGTGACTGCTATTGCGGTGACATGGGCCCTCTGAAGGAAATGAGAAACAATTAAACATAAAGAAACAGTATATAATCGACTGGCAGGCTTTTTTTTTTTTGAGGAATCGATAAGTGCACATTATTTAAGGTTAAGTAAGCAACTGCAGCTTGTCAAAAGAATTAGTGTCCTTTGCAACACAAAGGGCAACTGTCTATCCCCACAAGACAGGTTTACAAAAGGTAAATAATCCTGTAAAGCAGTGTCACACACATACAGACACTGTTGAAAACAATTTTAATTTCCCCGCCAAAACAACTCACATAAGATTACTTGTTTTGCTCTTACATGTGATTTTTGACCATGTGTGAAGTTACAATTGATTAGAGTGAGGTTACATTTGATATTGATTGTAACTTTCTTTATGAAACAGAGATAAGATCAATTGCAAGTTTGAGAGTTTAAGATTAATTGTTTTTATAAGATTGATTTTTGGAGATGAGATTAATTGTAAAGTTGTATGAAACACCCCACTGGTTGCACAAATGAAAATATGAATTTGAACCAGTTGAAGCCTCACACCTTTCAAGATAGTAAAGATCTTATCAAATTTGGCCTTCTATTTTGTTGACTTTTCTGTTCTTATAGATGAGCTTCTTTCTGTACCTGTATTCTTCTTCATTGACTAGAATTCAGTAAAGTCATTGATAACTCCCTGCTTCCATTTTGTTCTACATCCAGATCCATATGCGTATTTCTATCCTCAGGGATACCATCATTTCAGCAATTGCTGGAATTCCAGCTTTTTTATATTTTGGGGAAAACCTGCTGTTGGCATTTGTGGGCCAACACAACAATATTTTGTAAAAGGGGAACTGTAGTACCACATCCAACACTTTTCAAAGATAGAGTGCTTTCCAATTTTCATGCACTGTAATACGCGTGAAACAGCGATTCAATTTACACATACAGGGCACGGTGTAAGCAAGTGTGGTTTGAAATACACATAGGCAGAAATCCAGTCTGTAAGGAGCTGATTTTGTTTGAATTAACCCTAACAGATCTGAATCTTCCAATTTTAATATGATTTTGCACACACCGTAGGGAGTTAGGGTTAATACAGTTTTTATTTAAATCTCCACATCTAGATGGATGACAGGTCTTTGACCACAGTGACTTTTATTGATTTTGTTCTCCCAATGCCTATCTTGATTGTGATGTATCTTTTTGTTGAACAAGAATGAATAACGGCTTATTTCACCAACATAGTTACATTGCATTTACAATACATTATAAAATGTATGACGTTTGTCCTTCCAAAGCACAAAGGCAGCAGGCCTGTACAGCTACCCGTTAGGCCTGACTTTTTAGTTTTTGCAACAACATGAAAAATGCAACATTTCAGAGCTTCACAGCACTTTAATAAATAGTTTTCTTTTTATTTTTACAGGTGTTTAAAAATGGTAAAGAAGTGGCTGCATTAGACCTCAGCAGTGAAAATTCATGTAGTTGGATGATGTTTGTACGATTAGCAACTACATATGAAGAACAGAATTTGGTCGCCTATCAGTTTAATGAGGAAATCTACTTTGCTACTTGTAAAGTAAGTGACTGTACAAATTTGAATTTAACTTCTTTTTGAATTATGCTTGTAGTATGTACAGCTGAAAGTGCACACTCACATTTTTCACACAATTTAGTCTGTCAAGGTCCGAGTCTCCCTGCTCATGAAGTGCAACCTATTGCTGTCAGGCATGTTATCGAAATTTGACTGGTTTTTGTTTTTAAAAACTTGTGAAGGAAATAATTATAAAATAACACCCTCCTGATGAGGGTTTACATGTACATGCACAAATGTACAAATGTTACAATAAACTGTATTCACATAATATCAAAGTTTTCCTGGCTATTCTTTCATTACAATTCAAGGAACTAATGTAGAAATTCATCCAAGATGAATGTCATGTGATATTTGAAAAACCGATGTACATGCAGTCTTTTTATCATTTATTTTCAAAGTTTGCCTAACATATTCAAACACCTTGTTGAGAGTATTTATCCCCAAGTTGACTAAAAGCTGTTACCAAATTCTCAATAGAGATTGAATAATCTAGTGCCATTCACTGCGTATCATCGCCTGTGACTTTTATATCTTGCACTGAGGACGTAAATGTACAGTTTCACAAAACTGAAAAAAAAAACATAAATAAATTGCGTGATAAATGTTTTGGACTGGACGAGACCGACTTGAATATTCCTCACCAAAAATGTATGGTCATAGTTTGAATTCGATTGAATAACATTGTTTGACAAATTACAGAGTCAGATGTTGTCAGTAAACTTAATTGGTCGCTCTGGGAAATATCCATGAAATCATATACCTGTTTACCGAAATACATATAAATACTGCGTTCAGTTTTTGGCAAGAAAAATCTCGTTGTCTTAAGGATGTGTTTCTTTGGTAGATAATGATGATAGGAGAGTATAGCTACATGTACATGTGCTTGTATGTGTTGGTAAAGCCCTGATGCCCACTTCTGGGTCTCCCTTAAGCTGTGTTTCCATTGGACTTTTTCTCTATGGCACTGCAAACTGTTACCGCCACATTTCTTTGTGTCAGTCTACTGCGTATTCCTACTTAGACTTTCTAACTGCAATGGAACGGTTATTCACGGTACAAGACTACCTGAATGTCACATTTTGCCAGTCAGCAGTATGATGAAATTCAACATGACCCCCCATTCGTCTTCTGTTTTGAATTTGATTCTTCACCAAGAGATGGTGCATATGCCCTGTTCTCATTTGTGCTGACAACATTTTCTTTATGTCTCTTCTATATTCTTCTGCATTTTTCCCTGGCATATAAACCAACTACAAATCTGATAAAACGGCCAAGTCTGCCTTGTTTAAAGTAGCAATTAAACAAGATGTACATGCACATGTGAGGTACATTGCACTAATTCAAGTGATAATTTCTACTGAGCTCATTTATTTAGTATTGAAAGTACCCCCACAGTTTCTTTTGAAAAGGAGATTCTTTTAGCCCAAAATGGAAGGACTGTGGAAATATAGGCCAGGATCAATTCCTTTCCTTTGGGGCTTTGATCTGCGGGTATACTTGATAGAATGAGGATGAAAAGTGGTCTTCAGTGCCTGAGAAAGTAGAGGGAAGCCATTTGATACAGGGCTGCGAGCAGGCTTCAGAAATATCCTTTTTCAGTGGGTGAGTTTGTTTTGTGTGAATAATTTCAAATCATTGGCTAACCATGAAAAATTGAAGACAAACGGAAAGACTAGGAACAAGACAGTAGTTTGATGTTTGTTTGAGAAATGCCAGTAATGTCTGCTTGCATATTATTGAATCCAGAACTTTTTACAGCACGTTTTACACAATTTCCAGTGAGGATTGAATAAGCCACTTTGTAATTACGAACTGCGCATGTGCAAATGAACTGTTGCAAAAGGTCATTTGTATATAAAATGAATTGATTTACATATACATGTAGGTTGTGTGTGCATGAATGGGCTGCTGTCGATACGGACGATCGTTTAAGAAATTTTCGGAAATTGGGAAGATGCTGAAGACAAAATAATGAAGAACCAGAACAGAATGAACATTGTGGTAACCTACAATCCTGTACAGTCATTTAAAAAATAATACTGAATAGTGTCCCAAAATAATTTTCAAAATATTTTGTATAACTTTTATGGAAAGGACATTGGTAAGATTTAGAAATGTCACTCATTTTCCCCTGCAGGGCCTTAGTAGCCCTCAAAAAGCAATAATATGTCCTACAAAATCAAATTTTTACTGTGACTATTGGGCTGTGGCATGCCCTGAATGCAAGGCTGTCCAGCAGAAGGCCCCATTGAAACATGATGAATACAATGTATGTGTGGTATGCACTAATCCTCACACAAAGCCGCAGCTGTCGACGTTTCCCGATGTGAAGGGTTAAAAACTCTGTCAATCGGGCCGTGGTCCACAGGTAAATTTTCACCCATCCATGGTAAATATTTACCAAAAATTGAAAAGAACTGAAAATCGAGCTCTAGCTGAATTGTGCATGTAACATACAATATACACAAACGAATATCATAGAAGGGTGCCCGATCAGGACGCACGGTGAAGTGGTCCGTTTTGTGTCCTAAGACCCTTGCCCCATTTCCAGTGCAGCATACATGCTGTAATTACAAACTGGCTTATTAGTGCCCTGGTGTTCTGAGACAATGCATTATTACACAATCCTACACAGCAAGTGGGTAGATATACAGAAGCTTCTAGTGCCATATGGGTATTTCCAGAAATTAGGGGTCCAAAAGTGTGTCATTTTTGTGTCCCTGTTACATCTGACCTTTGCTACTTGGCATCGAAATATCACGGAAGTGATTTCAAACTATTGAAATGAATTATTGCTTGTTTGGCAGGTAATTTGCATCAATTCGTCTCTTTTGGAGATGAGAAAATGTGTTCTGAACTTATACAATCTTATGTCAGATATGACAGGGACACAAAAAAATGGACCTCTAATTTCTGGAATTACCCACATGTGACATCTCCCTTTTTTCCCTGATGAACATAAAATGGTAATAACACTTTAAACTTGAACTGCAAAACCGTAAACACTGTAATTCTGCTTTAAGTATAGAGAGACACTTGTGAGTAAATGGACAAGTTTGGAGGCAACTGCTGGAGTTTGAATTTAGCCTAAGATTAATGGATGTACGAATTCGGAATAAAATCAGACACTGAGAAATAAACTGAGTCCACTTCTGGGACCCCCCTACCCGTTCAACCTTACTTTTGCATATTTCTCCACCTAACGCTCCCAAGTGCTAGTTTTTAATACCACAGTCAACAGCACCCAGGTCCTAGTACCCGGATTAGTCTGGTACCTTTGTCCTCTATTTCTCTAGTGCTCACACGGGCTAGATTTCTTATTTTCACACTCCTGCCTGAGGGTGTACCGGCTTGCAATCCGTCATGGTTGACCCTGCCAGGGATGATGAATTTTTTGAGTTGGATGGGCATGTGTCATTCTACCCTTCAGATGAATTGTCTTCAGATTCTTGACAATTGACCTCGCCCCCATTCAGCTGCACCAGATCGGGGCCATTTGGCTCCAGCCAAGGGTGACGGAGGTCATGTTGTTGAGAGTGAACATCGCAACGTTGTCCACAGTACAAACACTTTCAGCCTGTGATCGTAAGATACACTCCTTAATAAAGGAAATGGTCCAAGTGCTTACACCGCCGACGGATGACTGAGCAGCAAACCTAAATGTGGGCATTCTTTCAAAAACATACAGGCCCACTTGATTCATGGGAACCAAATTTCCTGGCATTTCCTATTGACTGCTGTTGTGTCAATGAGAACAATGGCGGCTGTAAAAAAAAAGTGGCAGCTGTTTGCGGCAAGAAATGTTTGGTCTCTCCAAACGATTTTCTGACAGTCTGACAATATCAGACTCCGTCAAAGATAAAATCACAGCTAATTTCTCCAGCCATGCGTCGCATAAATCCCCATTTACCAGTCATGAAAGGAATACAATTGGAAGAACATATGGAAGAATATACACAGCAGCTTGCGTGGGTCTGCTGGTGTCTTGTCTTCTGCAACTCCTGTCAGAGTTCTTAGTCTGTTCATTCCAGGCAGACCCTATTGTTTCTCCAGAAACTACGGAGATGGGTTTTTGTTGTTTGGATGACTGCCTTCAAATTTGTTTAGATCAGTTCATTCCCATTGCCAGTGCTTGATACCACAGCCTGTAGGGCTAATAACCTAGGTACCATTTTTCTACCTTCTGAAGGGCAAGGACGCGACTTGATTCTCTTCCCCTTTTGGGAGCCAATTTACATGTATTTCGTGGCAAATTTCAAGAAGTTGCGGAAGCATAGGCTAAGCGCTTGGAGCTACTGGTAGAAATAATTTCAGGAAACCTCTAGCTCATACACTGTACATGTGCCAGCCAAAGGAAACAGGCAGCCCAGGGGTTCTACTAAACAACAATTCTTGTAAACCTCTGAAGTCCTTTTCTGGACATAGCCAAATTTCCACGTCTAGCAACAGCCAAATCAGGCAAGCTCGGAGCAGTCTAATTCGACCAGGGAGGCCACTTCATCTTCACGAAGGTGCACCTTTCGCCCCTTATACACTCCTCATCCCAAGAGGAGTTATGGCGGACACTGCAGAAGTTCTTGAAGGAAATGACTACTCAACACCTGTGGCCTCCTATTCAGTGCCAGTAGATGGCTCTCCCAAAACATTTTGCAAAGACTTGGGCCGTTTTTTGTCAAGGCAAGTGGGTTCTCAATACCATCGGACTGGGATACACTCTAGAGTTTACAAACAGCCCCCACCAGCATTTTTGGCCCGTCCAACTCTTATTCTTAATGAGTCCATGACATTTAGATCACAACTTTGGGAGGGCGACCGACAGGCATGCACACCCCTTTTATTTATTACTTCTTCCATTTAAGTGATTCAAAATTAAGAATATTTGTCTCTCAGTGTGGCTTAAAAGATTTTATATGTCGTTGAATCTTTCTGACTGGTAACATTTACTATCCCTGCAATCCGTACATTGCAGTGTAACATTACGA